CAATCAGGGAGAGGCCGAGGAAAACTTCAGGAAACACAGCATAAAGTGGTTGGGAGAGGAGCCAGAGATGCAGTCACTGGAAGATTTTAAGCTCTGTAACATTGTGGAGCAGGATGCAACAAAGTCCTTGCCTCTGCTCTTTCTTGCTACGCTCTTTCTGGCTATGGAAGGGGTGATGATGAAGGTTCAAATCAGGAAGCTATGGGTTCAGAAATCCGTGAAATACTGGGAAGGTAGAGGCGCAAGGATGAAGATGAACCTGAAGATCAAGGCTGTTTCATATCACCCACCTTGAGGACAAGGTGGTTGTCCAAGGGGGGAGATATGTTAGGATTATGGGCCAAGGAGAATAATAATAAGAATATTATAATAATAACCAATAATTGTAATAGTGTATTAGAGGGGCCTGGGCCTGGTATTAGTTAGTTCTGGCTGGCCCATAAGGAAATGTTATAAATATTAGTGGGAGTAGAATACAGGGACAGGCAGATTTTTGGATTCGGGATTTGGGAGAGTCGAGGCCTCTCGAAGCGCCTCAACTGTATCGTCTTCTTCGTTTCTGCACTTTACCGCAATATTAGTGATCAATTTACTGTTACAAAATTGGAGCCTCTATCAAACTATTCATACATTACAAATTAAAGATCAACCATACAGAACACTTATCCATAATATACATGTCATTTTCTCTTTTCCCAAATTTAGAAGGGTGTATGGGTTACAGTTAGTAGTGAGATCTTCCTGATTAAGGTTAGAAATTTAGAAATTGATTACATAATAGAGAAATCTATTCCTTCTTAGCCCTGCCCATAAAATTCAGGAATCAGAACTCATCCCAATCTTCTTATGAAGACACGCCTGTTGTTTCTTATCCTAAGTAAGAACCATCTACTACTTCTTCAGCATTTTCCTGCTAATTATCTCTCTAAACATGTCCTTATTTCCTTTTTTTCATCACTTTATTTCTGTAGTTTCTTCTTCCTCAATTTTTTCTCTTTTTCTTAATGAGATCTTTAGGAAGAAAAAAGACACTTAAGCAATCGCCAAGATTAGAATAGACAACTTTGAATTGGCATTTTCCAGTTTACAACAAGTTCAGAACAGATCATATGTCATTTGACTGTTTATAGCTTATTACAATCATTTCCTGGAAATAGTTTGTTGAAACAAACTCCAAATAGATTTTGAAGAATTGAAAGGATATCAACTTTCTTAATGGGGCTATCCAAACACATCTTACTCTACCTGTAAGCTGTAACTAAGAGTTCCTCTTTATAATAATGGGATGCTGTTAAGGACTCGTGTGTACGACCTTGTCCACGGTCTCCAACGAGATCTCAGAAGAGAAGAAGAGCCTACTGAGACTTTGGTATCAAGGTCGATAATTTATGTGCATTTACCTATCTGCTTTGGGCTGTGGCAAATTATAACAGCATTTATATTCGATATATGCCTCTCATGGGTTCCACTCTTCAAGAAATTCCATCAATCACACAAAAATGTAGGGCTTACTATAGTTCTACATAATACATAGATAGTATGTCCCAGTCCGATGTCATAAGTCAAATCATGTTAGCCAACCCCAAGCTCTTTTGGGATTAAGGGTTGGATGTTATTGTTAGTGTTGATATGTCTCAGACTCTCAGACTCTGAGTCAGTTAGTTAATTTGACATTTCTAAATTGATATGTTTGACATGTCTCAGTCTGTTAGTCTGTTATTGTAGAGCTCCTAAATTGGCATTTCGGAAGATAATGAAATGCTTTACACATCGTTGTTCGGAGGTTCAGTCCAGTTATAGAATTCAACATAATAATCTAAATAAAGTACTCCTCAACAGTGGCAGAGCCAAGAATTTTGGAGGCTAAAGTTAAATATGTTATAGTTTTTTTCAGCTAACGCATATTTGCACACACACATGTGTGTGTGTACTGTGTACCAGAAGGAACATTGGGAGGGGGCGAGGCCCCTCCAGCCCATCACTGACTCCACCCAGGCTGCTCAATGCATAAAATCACATAGCAATAACTAGATAAAACCAAAGGTAGTTTTAATTATACGACTAGTAATAAGACAATTTGTGCAATTAATAATACCTGAACGCCTCCATCACCCAAAGTGCAGGGGGAAATGATAGGTCCAGGCAGAGCAGGCTTCTCGGCTTGGACTTGAATTGGAATGCTGAAGCCTTTCCTAGGCAGATGGTGAGCTTGAGCCTCCACGGCCGCCTCAGAATAAGGTGGATTGGCATCACCGTTTCCGTTTTCTTCATGGACTTGTTCAGCTTCATCCTTCACAAACCCTAGAAATCCAGCAAGTTTCCTGAACAACCCCATCTCTCACACACACTAATGCGACGTGATGAGAGAGCGGCTGCCGAATACAAATTGCAGGAGATACTCCTAATAATGAGTTTGTTTGGTGGGAATGCAAAATACCAACTTTCTTTACTTAAAGTTCGTCTCCAAAGTATTGGAATTCAACTAGAGTCGCATTCTTCCATTCAACTATCCTGCCGATGTGAGGCTCTCAAGAATGGATGTCAATGTCTCAATTATTTTTCCTTTTCATTTTTAACTTTTGTATTTTCAATTATATATTTTACTAGCATTTTTACGCGCAATGCGCGAGAGTCAATGCCCAAAAAACAATTTAGTATTAACAATGCTCAATTGTAAATTACAACAACAACATTTCATATTAAAATCTCAAGTTTAACATATTTTGAAGCATGTGTCACTCAGTCAAAATATGTTGATATTCCAATCAACTATTCATTTTTATGGTATATGTAGTTGTTAGTCACCACATATAATAAACATCTTCCATTGATATTGATTGTCTTTGAACTAAAATTATTTTTAAAAAAATTGTAAAAGTAATTAAGATTTTGATGAACCCATATCTACCAAAAGTTAATAACAAAACACCTAAATTGATGTGCTACAATAACGATGGTGAGGCTTAATTTAACGTACATATAAGAGTTATACATAACTTGTACATGTTACTTCTTTTGAGTTTTAATTTTTTGTAACCATTTTTTATCTATATATTGTTTAGCATATTAGTATTATCAATTAAGATGATTAATTTAGATTTTTAATGTTTCACTTTTATGATATATAAATTCATTTTTTGTATTTCAATAGTTTTTTTGTGTTTTTGTCAATCAACTCAGTCAATAATTATATGAAATGCATGAATTTAGGAAATATGTGGTAATAAAATCCTCTTTTTGTCCCTTAAACTTTAGCCAAATTTGAACGACAAGGGAAAAAATAAAATAAAAACTGTGTAATTGAAATTTTTGTTGAGGAGAGAAAATTAACAGGAACCACAAATTCTTTAATTAAAAGGGAAAGTGACGAATTTATGGAATAATCAAAAAAGGAAGTTGACAAAGTTTGAAGAGACGGATGGGGTATATTTTAACACAATCTCTTCATAATTCAGTAGTTTCGGGCAATTCAATTTTTAGAGACCTTTTGAATCTTACCAGACAATCTTTAATCTTCTAAATTATAAAAGGATTTTTTTTGTAATTTCTATCACTCCTATAAAGGTTATAAGCAACAATGCATAAGCAAAAAACATTTTAACAATTTAGTATATTTTACTAAATTTTATTAGTTTAGCACTTTAGCCATATCAAGCACAACTTCAAGAGATTAATTAATCACTTCAAAAATCTAAACTATTCCAAAAATATTCTTTATATTTTAAAAAGAAGTGCTTCTTCATAAATAAACATTTTCATTCTGTATTGACTTGAGTATGCCACATTGCCACAAAGTTTTCATTCTTAAAACACCAAACGTGCGAATGCAGATGGCCCACTATGAATTATGAAGTACTCTTTAACTTTTATTGAAGAACCGTCAATTACTTCTAACGGTGGTAGGGCAATTTTGTCCATCAAAATTAGGGTATAATATTTTAATAACAAAGTACAAGTTCTCATGCAGTGAAAGTATTGACATAATTCAAGGATACTAACCAACACTCACAATTATAATGTTTTTAGATACTATAGTTTTAGACTATAGCCTCTTCAATAGGTAGAATAGTACTCGAGCACTATTAATATAAGTACAGGTCCCTCTAGAACCTTCATTCTCTTGAGAGGGTTTTACCGGAAAAAACTCCCGACTCCCGACTCTCGATCCCGATCCCGACAATCCCGATCCCGATAATCCCGATCCCGACAATCCCGATCCTGACTAGTCGGAAATTTTTCCCGATCCCGACTTAGTCGAGACGGGACCGGATTTTTTTTAAAAAAAAGTCGGGATCGGGAAAATCCCGACATCCCGACATTATATATATATATATATATATATATATATATATATATATGAATATATAAAAAATGAATATGTATCTAAATAATTTCATATCTTTTTTAATTACTTATTTCTTACATAGATTAATCTTTTACTACGAGTATCTTACAATATCAAACTTCTAAAACTATTCGGCATTTGTCCCAAAATGAATATTCGAGATCCTAACTAAATAGAGATTATTCTTTATCCCGACAATCTAAATCACAACAATATTACAAATTTTTCGGTTCTGATGAACCCTTTAAAAATCATGATCGAGACTATTTTTTTTTCTTTTGTAAATAATCATAATATGTATTTATACATTATATTCATTGGTCATAAAGTTTCTGAATGAGTCTACTTAGTTTTGAATTTTAAATAATATACGTTACACATCCTTCTTTTAGTGATTTTTATATAATGTTTGAAGTTTCACTAAGCCTTGATAGCTTATTCAAAAATTATACTATTAATTAATTGAAGTTACAAATAAAAATTATTCTAAAAGTATGTACTAGTGTGAATTTGTGATGATAATTATTAGAACAAATTTTATAAGTAGATAGATGATGATAAATATGATATAACAATGAACAAAGAATATCAAAGTTAGTGTTTAACTAAAGAAATTACATAATTTTATGTTTGATACTTCATTGTCGGGATTTAGCGGGATTCCGGATCGGGATCCCGACTTAATCGGGATTTTAATGTCGGGATCCCGACTTAATCGGGACGGGATACGGGATCCTCTTGTAGTTTGAATCGGGGTCGGGACGGGATCGGGATTTGGGCAATCGGGATGGGGATCATCCCGATCCCACCCCTAGTTTTACCCCAACTCCCGTTAGACATCATCCTTGTAATTGATGAGGTATCCAAATCAAATTGCACAGTTGATTTCACAATCTTCTCTATTTTCAATATGGGTTTCTCAAGGAAACCATGAATAAACAATCTCAGGATATTGGCAGAAGTGTCAGGGAGAGAGAAAGCAAGGACAGAGCAAGAATTGACCGGGTTATTTCAAGTCGAGATGGGAAGACCCTAGATTCGGAATTATGTATTGCAGCACAGATATGGACGGAGAGAAGGATGAACGATGGGAAATTCAAAGCTTTTATTGACACAATGGCGAATCTCTCGAAACCTTACCATGGAGTTAAAGGGGATGTTCTAGATAAAGAGCAGAAGACTTTCATATTTCGCTTCAATGATTTGGAGGATAAAAGGAGGGTTCTAGATGAGCAACCATGGCACTTTAAACGACACACAATCGTAATTAATGAACTCCATGCCTAGCTAGACCTTCTGATGTTAATTTAAGCTTTCTTCCCATATGGGCAAGTTTTTACGATTTACCCATGGGTGGACGTACGGATGCTAGAAATCTTAAAACACCTGGAGATAGGGTATAGTAGGTGTTTTCGTGGGGGCGGACCCTTCTGCCAGCATGGTGATTAAGGGTCTGTTTGCAACTCATTAAAAAAAGTGTTTTTAACTTTTTTTTAAGAAAAAAGCACCAATTTTATCAAACACTACCAATTTTTACTTTCTCGATTTCCGTGTAGAATCTACTTTTTACTTTTTCTATTACACAAAAAGCACTTATTTTACCAAACACTACCAACTTTTACTACTACTCACTTTTTTCCCAAAAGTGCTTTTATTTAAGCAGAAGTGGTTGCAAACAAAGCCTAAGAGATCAGTTCGGCTCCACATGCTAATTGACCCGAAGAAATCCCTTGTTATAGAAATTGAATTGAACACACCGGAAGGGGGGACGACGGAGATAGAGGTACAATATGCAAAGCTATCACTCTTTTGTTACTATTGTGGTCTCCCGGGACATGGTGAGAAGGATTGTGCTAAGAAGAAAAGTGGGTGTGAAACAAATTTTAAGTATTTACTTAAAATTGATCGCAAATAATAGTATGTGAGAATATCGGGTACAATATCTAAATATGAATCCTCTGATTCTTCACTTGCAATTTGAAGTAATATAATTAAAGAATTTAATTTAAAATTAAATCTCTAATCCTTCAAATATTCGAACGTTCTTCGAATCTTCGAATCTTCGTTCTTGAGATCTTCGAATCTTCGTTCTTTGGATCTTCAAATCTTCTTGAATAAAGAATTCAGATTGAAGGGCCTCCGGTTTTCAAGTGGCTTGATCTTCAACAAAAGGGCCGTTTTATGGCTTAATCTTCTGTTTAAGGGCCTCCCGGGATATATGGCTTGATCTTCAATTGAATTTTGATTCAATCTTCATATGAATATCTTCAAATTTTCAAAGATTCGTTCTTCATATCTTCGAATCTTCAAAGTCTTGTTATTCAGATCTTCGAATCTTCGAGCTTCGTTCTTCAGATCTTCGAACGTTCTTCAACTTTTGAACTTATTTTATCAAGAATAGATGAAATCACAAAGGATTATTCATATATTCTTGACAAAATCGTGGCTTGATCTCTTCCTCTTCTTCGGAATCGTTCAGAGCCTCTCGGGATTTCTTCAGAGCTTTGCTGCAGCGTTTCTTCGTCTGGAAGTTCTCCTCCCTTCCTCTCAAATGAGACCCCTATTTATAGGTGTGGAGGAGGTGAAAATATGGCCTAGGGTTGCTGAAATTCGTCCATATCTCATGGGCCATAATTAAAATGGGCTTTGGGCTCCATTTGCTTGCATTTTAATAGCTAGAAAAATCAGCACTTGTGCAACGTATCTGGACAGCTTTCTTAACAAGGTTCGGAGCTATTTCTCATGCATATGGACATATTTTTTAACCAGATTCGTCCTCTTTTATCAGTCGGATCATGCCTCTTATGTATTGAGCCAATATTTGATGACGGGCTCAAAATAGAGAAATTAATAGGACCGGTCCATTCTTTTAGGGAATTAATTTATAATTAAATTAATTGGATATTTTAAATAACCCCGATTAATTTAATTATTAAATTTTATCCGAATGGACCCATATTAATATTTTTATAGAGCCCAACAACCATTACGAGCAGTCCATTCGAATCTGACGATGGTCCAATATCACTTGGAAGAGGCCCAATAAGACACATAATAGCCCGATAGCATTTAAATCAAACTTAATGGCAACAACAGTCCGTCACAGTTATCTCGTAAGCCTAATTCATTCATGAAGTAATGGCCCATTAATTTTAGATGTCCACAAATGCCCCTCGAGACTTTGAAAATGGTAGAAAGAGACCAATTTGCCGAATTGGCCTGTAGAATCTAAATATTCCACTTAAAACGTAGCCCATACAATAATGAGGCCTGGCAGATATCCAATTGCATTTAGAGCACCCTGAACTAAACATCTCAATAGATCAGCGGGAATATAGAATCACAATTCTAATTCCAATCTATGATCCCAGTATGACTGTACGAGGCTATGAGTCCTATTAGGACCTTCATTCTTCTAATTTGAGATCCGTATTACAGTGTATAAATATCAATCTCATCTGATCCTTCTTTTACACCTCCGATTATAAAACCCAGAGGCCATAGCTATCAAGATTTCAGGAACCAGGCAGGTAATTTCTTTTTTATTATTCTTCCTTTCCTCTTTTGGCGTTTTGCAGGGTGAATTTCTGGAGGCAACTAGTAGCTGTTTCCATAACCAATTCTGGACCATGACAACCGTTCTAGCTTCTGATCGATCAAGAAGAGTTGGAGACCTTAAATTACCTCCACTTTAATGAAAGAATTGTTGCTGAATATTTGTTAACTACAGTGGCTACTACCATTAAGCCTGCAATTGGTGGGAACCAAATGTTCATCGAAAGACGGAGCCGATCGATTTCTGGTGTTGTCAAAGGTTGGTGTCGCCCAAGAGATGATTCCGTTGCAGGTCGTGATGTTGCTGCCAGAGAAGATGGTGGACCCGTTTTCATTGTTGGAGCCTTGCGCTGGAGAGAGAAGCTGCCGCTTTTGCCGGCATGGCGAGAAGAAGGAACCAGATCGATTTCATGCTGGTACGAAGGTGATTAGCGGCAGACTAAGATGGAGTCTAACGGGCGATCGCAAATCGTTTGCTGTTACCTGGGACGCCGTTGGATTTCTTCCCATCTGTTTTGCTTGTAGGCCGCTACTACTCTTGGCGTGAAGGAGAAAATTGTGAGATGACGTATTCGGTCTGCCGTGAAGATTTAGAGCTTTAGAAGACCGGCTACTTTGCCGGTGAGAAGACCGGCCACTTCGTCGGTTTGAAGACCCGTTATTTTGTGGGTGTGAAGACCGGCCACTTCGTCGGTTTGAAGATCCGCTATTTTGTGGGTGTGAAGACCGGCCACTTTGTCGGTTTGAAGACCCGCTATTTTGTGGGTGTGAAGACCGGCCACTTCGTCGGTTTGAAGACCCGCTATTTTGTGGGTGTGAAGACCGGCCACTTTGTCGGTTTGAAGACCCGCTATTTTGTGGGTGTGAAGACCGGCCACTTCGTCGGTTTGAAGACCCGCTATTTTGTGGGTGTGAAGACCGGCCACTTCGTCGGTTTGAAGACCCGCTATTTTGTGGGTGTGAAGACCGGCCACTTCGTCGGTTTAAATTTATGAGCTCCGCTGCCATTATTGCCGCTGCCATTATTGAAGGAATGCGGAATTTGACGAGCTGGCTAATTGAGAACTCTGTGATATGTTCTCTACCTCAATTAGTTTAAGAGAAGAAACGGGAGGGAGCAAAATCACTAATTGTTCTCTGCCTTAGTTGCTTCTGCATGTTTATTGCAAAGGAGAAATTAAGGAACATGAAGAGCACAACCGCAGAGTAATTGCTATGTGATGGAAACCCATATTCGGATTGTGCAAATTCGGCCAGTTGGGGCTTCGTGATGGAGAAATCAGCCATATTTATTTGAGAGAGACTTTCATTTTATTCCTTTGATTTAATTAAAAAAAAAATCTCACTTTTTTTTTCAATGACTCTTTTTTTTTCATCTTTTTTTTTGACCATTTTGCTCTTTTTTTTTATGCAGCACAAAATGGTGTTTTTAAAGGATATAAAACATGAAGGTCAGAAACTTCTCTCCATATCAACGGGCAATACTAATGGCCATGAGATTCATCTGGAGATTTGCAAACCCTTTGCTCGTGGTATTTGCCCTGCGACTGTTGTGTCATACCGCGTTGCTAACTGGACTCCCGAGTGGGAGTATCAAGATCAATCTCTGCGAATTTTAATATCTGGCTTTCCTCGAAGACCTTCTCTTAACATTCTTCCTTCTTTGGGTAGACGTATCCTTGATGACAACATCCCCCTCAAAAAACATCTATTTTTTGGTGGTGAATTTAGATTTATCACTGGTTATTGGGAATGGGCGGAAGACGTTTTGGGCATGAGTAAAAACATCCTAAAGAATGGGCTTATTTATGATGTTGTTTATGCTTCATTGTTCACATATGACCGATGTATTAATGCTGTACAAGCATTTTGTGAGGCATGGTGTCCCGCGGTGAACACTTTACTTACATCAATTGGTGAATTGGCGATCACGCTTTGGGATTTACATGTTATTGGGGGATTACCAATAATAGGAGATGCATATGATGAATCTATCCCGAGCGCCTCTGAGATGTTGAAGGCAAATGCCGACCGCCCTTTCCAGCTTTGCAAATACTTATTTGGCGCGTACCATCACCTTTTTCCAAAGACGGGAGACAAACGTTTGCTACGTGTTCATGTATGGGTCAAATTCTGGTTTAAGAAAGCCTCTAAGTATACTATGCCTCCATCGAGAACGGAAAAGAAGAGAACAGCTCGTGCAAAGGCAACTTCTATGAATTTGGTGGATCAATTCCAAAATTTGGTGGATGGACAAATTCTATGAAGGTACCGTTCCAAATACTCAAGGTTCCTGCCGAATATGAGAAAGAGATCTATTTAGCAGCATTCCTATCATGTTGGCTATGTGCATTTGTGTTGCCACATGAAGGTCCAAGGGTCATACGTCCAGAAATTTTTAAAGTTGCTTGTATGGCTTGCGGGAGGAAAATATGTCTTGCTGTTCCAGTTCTTGCCAGTATCTATCATGGACTTAATCAAATTTCAAATGCTCTGTCTCCTGACCAAGTTAGAACGTGTTTTCCTGTTCACTATGTTTATGGATGGTTGGCCTCATACTTTGACACTCATTTCAAGAATGATATTCAGTCCACGACCCCATTGATGATCTCTTATTCGGGAGAGGGCGGAGCAAGGTCCCTTGATAAAAGAGGAGCGCGTAGGAGAATTTTCCAGGGAGATGTGTCTTCATGGATGTGTTCTACTCATCGGAGAATTAGGGACCACGTTTTCTTTGATGGCGAGAATCCTTCCGAGACTGACTTAACATTCTTTAGATGTCTTCGATCTAATTTTCTTGTATTACGCTACCAAAATCATTGCATTGCCGAGCCATACACTCCTCATCGCTTTAGTCGACAGTTTGGGTACTTCCAAGCTAATGCACCTGGTTTGCTTGAGAAGCATGAGCGTCGTGTTTCTCTTGTTGCTGGATTTCGGTTTTGGCAGCAGTTTGAGCATGGCATGTCACGGGCTGAAGCGGTGTTTCCGACTCCTCCGACTATTCCCGCGAAGTATTATTCCTTGGAGTATAAAGAATGGTGGAGCCAAGTTCATGGTAGCTACCTCGAGAATCGCGTGGGTGACTTGATTAGGATTTGTGATTTTGAAATTGGCGATGTGGTCATCTCTCCGGATCCCGTAGCTCCAGCCTCCAAGAAGAAGAAAGAGGTACCCGATACTGAAGCTAAGTCTTTGCCTCAGAAAAAGGCTAAGCTTGCAGCACCTAGGGCTGAAGTTTTGATCAAGGATGCTGAGAAAGAAACACTTCCTGCCAAGGCGAATGAGAATCAAGTTCTTGAGAAGCAGAGTAATGATGATAGGAATTGGAAGCATCTTTAGAGAAAACCTCATCCTGGGCCACTGAGGGTTAGTTTCATTATTTAATAATCTAATTTAACCTCAAGCCTGGACTTATATTTTCTTCCTTCTTTTGCAGATTCATCCAATCCTTGATGATGCTAGTTCTTCAAATCATGTTTCTTCATCTAGCTCAAGTGAAGGAGAAACCGATGATCATGACACCGTTGCGGGGTTGATGGCAAAAGGTGCCCCAAGTAATTGCAAAGAAGTTCCAATCGACGAGATACCGAAATTCCCTCATGCGAAATCGGCTGTATCCGTTTTTCAAGGAGAGAACTACTTCTTTACTTTGTATAAGCGGTTCCTCATTGAAACTTGGGGCGGTATTCAAAAGAAGATAGAAAAGGCTACAGCAGAGAACGTCTCTTCTCTTCGAGAGGATGTTCAGAGTTGTGTTATCTTGATGGAGAAGGACGGTATTGACCTTTCCGTGTTGAAGACAAGAGTGGAGAATTTTGTTTGAAAGAGCACAAGTATTTGATCAAAAGTGCTCGACTATTGCTGACAGGGTCCCTACGGAGAAGCAGTCTCGGGAATTGGCTATGTCACAAGCTTTTTGTGCAGATATTGAAGCTAAGAGATCTCAAAATCAAGTCGCATTACTTGATGATGAGAAATCTCTTAATGAAATCAAGAAGAAGATAGCCTTATTGGAAGCTGAAGCTAAGGAAGTAGAAGTTTTGATTTCCCAGCGTCATGCAGAGGCTAGTGACTTGGATGCAGCTCTTACGAAGGCCAAGGAGGAATATTCACGGATTTTGAAGACTATTAAAGCATCAGACGAAGATCAACTTGCTTTAAGTACCCAGAAGAAGGAGCTAGAGGCTTTGAAGGATGACTTAGTCAGCTTTAAATTGTTTTTAGGCTGAGTTTGTTTTTACTTGTTTATAGATTAGCTTTTAGTCAGCTAACACTTTTCTTCTTTTCTTTCCATCAAACTATATATGGATATATATTTGATTGCTTTCTTGCTCCTCATGAGTTGATATCATCTTACTTTCCATTTTTTTTTTGACCAAGATCAAACTTTATTGGGGTTTGTATTGTTATAACTGAACTCAAAAATGAAACTTTTGAGCTGCCTACGTACTCCTATGAAGGAGATCAAGTCAAACGTAGTTCATACATACCATTTGAATTGGTAATCTAAAAAAAGGTGGGGGTGCCGTACACAGTTTTAACTCATGCGGGCCAGGAGCTTGCCGTACACATTTTTAACTCTCGTGGGCCAAGAGTATCTATGATTATGCTCACCCATAGACAAAGTGAGATGTTTTAGTAGTTTAGCCACTTACAACATCATTGGTGGTTCAAGCCATTCAACATTTCTTATGGCTATATCCATACCCCAAATATCAAGGGTAGTAAAGCTTTATAAACCTTCCATTGATTGGGCCAATCTTTGAGCCATCTGCATCGACCAACTTGTAGGCACCGCCTGAGTATACTTCTTGAACAACATAAGGACCATCCCATTTAGGCGAGAATTTGTGTCCAGTTTTCCTTGTAATAATGATAGGTCTTCGCACAGCTAGAACTTTATCACCAATTTGGAAAGAACGGATTCTAACTCTCTTATTAAAAGATCTTGACAAACGTGCTTGATAGCATTCTAAGTTCTGCTGAGCTTCTAACCTCTTTCCATCAAGTGCCTCGAGTTCTGTCAATCGCAACTTTACATTCTCTTCATCAGTAAGACCTTCTTGAATAGCCAATCTTAAAGATGGTATTTGGCGTTCAAGGGGAAGGACTGCTTCAGTACCATACACCAAAGAATATGGAGTACTTTGGGTAGGTGTGCGATAAGTCGTTCTATACGCCCATAGTGCTTCTTCCATTCTTTGTGCCAATCTTTCTTTGATCTTGACACTACTTTCTTCAACAGGTTGCATAGAGTCTTGTTGAAGGCTTCAGCGAGTCCGTTTGCAGCAGCATAGTACATAGAAGACTTCCGTTGCTTGAAGTCAAACAGTTTGCATATCTTGTCCATCAACTTGTTGTCAAAAGGTTTCCCATTATCTGTTAAGATATATCGGGGAATGCCAAAGCGGTAGATGATATGAACTCGGATGAAATCAGCAACATTTTCCTTCTTCACCTCTTTCAATTCAACTGCTTCGGCCCATTTTGAGAAATAATCAGTAGCGGCTAGTATGTATGAATGCCCTCCTGATGAGCTAGGCGTGATTGGTCCAACTACATCAAGTCCCCAAGCGTCAAACGGCCATGATGCTACTGTTGGATGCAATGGTTTTGGTGCTTGATGGATAAAATTTGCGTGATATTGGCATGCTTGACATCTTCTGGCATAATCCATGCAATCTTTCACCATAGTCGGCCAATAATATCCCATTCTCTTGATGTGAAAGTGCAATTTAGGACCGGACTGATGAGCTCCACATACTCCAGAATGTGCCTCTTCCATGGCCTGCAAGACTTCATCTCCACCCAAACATATAAGAAATACACCATCGAAAGACCTTCGATAAAGTGTATCCTTATAGTAGATGAAACGTGGTGAACGTCTCTTTAAGTCCACTTTCTTACGAGGGTTTTCAGGTAACTTCCCATCAGTAAGATAATCAATGAGTGGTTGTCTCCAATCTTCATTTTCAATATCATAGACCGATGTAGTTGGCATCTCGATTATCTCTTCGGCTGCGCCATCTTCTCCGATGAAAGGAGGAATTACCCATTTTTGACATACCCGTACTTGAGTTTCATCGTCAAGATGTGCCATGTTTGATGCTAACCCTGTTAGTGCATCAGCTTGCTTGTTTTCTTTTCTCGGCACGTTCAATTGTAACTTCACCAAGCCATCCAATGAGTGCCCTTGCATATTTGTTGTAAGGATGTAGTTCAGGCTTTCTGACTTCATAGATTCCAAGCACTTGATTGATGATCAGTTTTGAATCGCCATAGATATTAACCCGTGTTTGTTTCATGTCTACAGCTATTTCAAGTCCGAGAATAAGTGCTTGATATTCAAGCCAATCCTTAGAAACCTAGAACCTTCGGTCACCCCTATAAATAGCAGCACATCGTTGATAACCTACACACAAACAAACCAAGAAGCTAGGCTTCCATACTTGAGAGTCTGCGAGAAAGAAAAAAAAAACGTGAGTGCGAGAGACTGACGGAAGGAGAAGAAAAGCCGACCGTGGAGTGCCGGAGTTCGCCGGAGAAGGACGAACGTTGCAGATCTCTGCCGAGCCAACCTGTTGCTGCCCACCGCCCGCCGCCGCGTCACCAAAACATCGTAAAAAAAAAAAGGTAACCCGCACATCTGCGTTTTTCTTAATTTCTAGAGTGACCATGCGAAGAAGACGGTGAATGTGGACTTGTTAATATGGACCGAACTGGTTAAAATATAAACTAGAACAAGTAATAACAGTATTGAAGTGTTTAATATGGTATATAAGGACTGTTCGAAATTACTCGTAATAAACAGTAACGTAATGATGGGGATGATAATATTAATGGACTGGTTTGGTTATGGAATTATTGGTCTAGATAAAATTGAATGAATATAAGAAGTACGGAGTATATCAATAGAAAGAATGGATTGAAATAGAACCTTGATTATATGTTATTACTTTAGTTGAAGCCGATTAATTGGATTCCTTGGCTTACAGTAAAATGAACGGACCAACTAATGTGAAAGTAAAATAGATGATCTTTACCTTACAATCTGCTTATAATTGATTAAATGTGAATTGGGTTGTGATTTAATAATAGTAATATTAAAGATCTGGACTGATATTATACTAACTGATGCCGCCTATGTAATGATAATATAATAACTTATGGACTAATTCACTTGTAAGAAAATAATAATAATAATAATAACAATAACCTGGATTGATCGTAATTAATGATTTTGGATTAATCTGGATGTTGTTGTTAAAATAAATAATAATGATAAATATATTAATGGTCTACTTAGAATTAATGGACTAACTGAGATTTAAAATGAAAATAGGAATGTTTTAGTTAAACCGGATTGATTAAATTTCAATTGAATGATAGTAATACTGAACTAATGTAAATGGATAGACCGATCAGTGCAAAGATAAAATAGCTTTTCATTACAGAAGATTGTACCTGACTTATTAGGACGTACAATAATATTGGTTTGTTGAATTTGAAATTTGGAGTTGATGTGAATTGATCGGACGACTCTGGACTATTAAACTTCACCGATTAAATTACTATAAAAATGGATTTTTGGATCATAATAAAATTTACAGACCACTAGTATAAAATTCGAATAGATGATCGTTAGTCATAAAATTAAAGTGGACTCAATTTACATCTAATATAATATAATACTGGATCGATTGACTAATTCGTCTTATAATTAGAAATAAAATTATTAAATTAATTAATTATATAGACTCGAGTATTTTAGAAACTAAACACGACTGATAATGATTAGTACATTTTAATGGCTTAAGATGATTATTAAGGAATTAGGAATTATCATCATAATAAAAGGCTAACTATGTAAGTGAATTTAACAAACGTAACGGATGAGTTTATAAATAAAATAAATAAGAGAAAATGGGCAAGTATAAAGGGATTAATCCAGCACAACTAATAGTGTCGGGTTGTTATAAATAAAATTTCAAATGAACACAAACAGATTAAATATAGTATAACGAATAAATGAGTTATTGTGAACTTTTAGGATAAAATAGAAAAGTATAATCATTAACGGAAAGGGTAGAACAATTATACTTTAAGTTAGAGCAAATATTGACCTTGGGAATTCTAATTAATAGAAGGTGAACTTGGAGAGGAAGACGTTAGAGAAGCTTGTTAGGAATCTCTGGAATTTGAGGTAAGTCACATTGCAACCAAAATGCATTTTTACCTCGTATATATTGTATGTATGAAATATGAAATTTGTATTATTTGACTATTTGTTGAGCAATTTGTGAATATGTGATGCATTGTTGAATGTTAATAACTTTGGGGAAATTACGTGAGTAGTAATCCCTGAATTTTTGGAAAATAATAAAGATAAAATGAACCTTTCAATGTAAGGGCATCACGGGAGAAATCCGGGATGTCGGTGTCCTCCACGACCTTGACCGTGGAGAGTGATTAGGACTGCTATTACTTGTTGGGATTTGGTGTCCACGACCTTGACTGTGGAGATTGGTTAAAGTGGTTGTTTTATTGAAATTCAAATTCGGGCAAAAGACCCTGTTATTCAGTAGTAGCAGTAACCTAGTCACTTATATAGGGTAATCCCTTTTTGGTGGAGTAGGGGGACGTTGACGTCCGAACTACTTGGACTTCTTACTACTCGGAGGGCTTGGAATCCCTTTTAGAGGGTGTGCACACTTAAGGTAGAGGTTCAGTTTCCTCAGGTTAGAAGTGGTACCGGCAAAAGTCCCGGGGTGGCCGTACATAACAACGGACCATCGGGCTCAATAAAATGTTGAGCACCGCCCTTCAAATGTATTAGGAGTTTAATACAATTATATTTTAAGACATTACTAGAGTACCTATTGAAGAAAATATTTTATTTTATGAAAGTGAGGAGCATCCATTTTTGAAAGAAGTATACCATGAAATTTATCTCTTGAACTTTTTTTTTATATATGGTATACAAAATATTATTTTCACCAAACCTATTATTTTACGGGGTTGGGTGGGACTTACTTAGCTCTAAAGCTAATTTTTGTGTTATTTGTTTCTTTTATTTCCTTATGTTACAGATGATGTGGTTTATGAAGATTGATGCCTTGAGAGCGCTCCTAGAAGACTTCTAGAGTAGTCACATCTAGAATAAACATTGTTAGATTTTATTATTACAAATGTTGAATTGAATATTTCTTTAGATACATTTTGGTGGATAGCCTTAGCATCCAGTCAGTTTAGGGCTGGATGTGGCGGTAACACACCCCGTTTCCTTGTTATTGTTTAATTCCGCTGCAAACAAATTGAAAGTTTTGAATAATTAATAAAGTTTATTATTTCTTAAGTATTATTTCG